GAGCACGGAGCAGGGCGGCCGCGGCGGCGGAGAGAGGGGAGGGTGCCGGCGACCCACTGCTGCGCTCCTCTCCCTGCAGGTGGAGCTCCTGCCCGAGCGGGACCTGGACAGCGACGGCACCAAGATAAGCGTAAGTGGCAGTCCCCGCCGCCCGGGAGAGTCCTTTCTCGGCCATAGCACGCCCCAGACACGGCGGTGTGCGGCAAGGCTGTGTCCATCTCCTCACCCCCTCCGCCACCCTGCATCCCTTCCCCATCCGCACCGCAAGGGGACGCGGCTGGCAGCCCGCAGCTCCTTCCTCGTCGGCAAAAAAAAAAAGCTCAGAAAGTCTTTGGACCTCCTTCTTAGCAGTAATCTCCACTTTTGTCCACTGTAACGCTTTCTTAGGAAATAGGGATTCTGACACAAGAGTTACTAATCTGCCATTCGGAGATTAAATCAGAATGTTGTCTTAACAGAATTATGAGCAACGTTACTCCCAGCTCTTGTCCGCGGAAAGGATGCCTTCCTCAGCAGACCCATACTCCCGAGTCCGGCACAGCCACAGCCCGTGACCTCAGAACAGTTCAAACCCTCCTCCCCCAGCGTCCCAAGAAATGTGTGGTGGTGGGGTCATGGTATGGTGCTCACTGCAGTGGAAAGACACAGATATTTAGATGCTGCAGCATGAGTATTCCTCATGAGCCCAAAGGGGCAATCCCTTCAGAAGTGCCTTTTAGCTGCAGCCAAGGCTGTAAGTACAAGGAAGGATTAAAACAGCAAAAGATACTGGTGAATCATTTTTGTTAAATCCTTTGCTGCTCTTTGAAGCCTACAAATAACTAATCAAGTCATTGGATCAGGTCAAAGTGCAGCTAAATACAGTTGAAGGGCATTTATAAATGAGAATTCAGATACGTTATATTCAAAACAATACACATTCTAGCCGTACTTAGATTTCCTATGATACTTTTCACTGTATGCTATAAATGGTTTGTGTCATGAGTTGTACCTTCAGTTACATCTGAGGACTGCCTTACAAATGAGGCCCACATGTGGTCTTTGAATACTATTCCACTAGACGTAGTGCTAGCAGCTAATTTATTCCTTATCAATACTGGTTTATTCAAGATCCCTGTAGTAATCCATAAGATCTGTGACACAGCATAGGCTGTAAAGCTTGTCCCATCTTTCAAGTTAAAAATCTCTTTCTCTCATTTTGTATGGTAGTAATTCACGATGGGGTATTTATACAGTGTTTTTATAAGCTTGCATAAAGTATTTTATATTTGCAATAAAAAAGTCAACATTAGGCTGACAGTCTAAATGCATTTATTACAAACGTAGCCTTCCTTTTTTTCTTTCTTGAAGGCACAGAAAGTCTCCATTAGTATCTTCATGAAGAAAGAGCAAACTTTTAAGTGCATTTAGTAAATTTTTTAAAGAAATAGTAAAATATACTAAATGTGTTTTTAAACTGTGCTGAAATACACCAGTTTTATAATCAGGCATACATTGAAAACATGCATCCATGCTGACTGCAACAATACCTAAATTTCAAATGCAAAACCTAGAACAAATTCTGATTTTCATTAGTGCTATGCAACACTTAACTTTGCAGATACTGCATGGGAGCAAATGAAGGCAAAATATGACCTTCAGATTCTCTTTCCATTCATATAAAACTTCTTTAATCCTTCTGCAGAATATTAGCTGTTCAGTAGAGATATATTATTATTGAATATGGTTTAAACAACTATCCAGCACTTTCTGTGTAATTAACATTGCATACACTATGCCTTAAAGAGTGCAATCCATATTTTCAACTCAGTTTGCCAAGTATAAATTCAGAGCTGGATACAACATAACAGGCTGTAAAGTCCATCCAGTACCTTAAAGCAGTAATGTATTCACAAGCATTGCCTTTAATTTATCAAGCAGGCAGGATAGGTGCTTTGCCAACTCTGGTGACTACAGCATGACAAGCTATCAGAAGCAATGTGTTGCATAATCAACAATAACACATGCCTAGTTTCAGTCTAATGGTTCTCCATTTTTGTGATCTACAATATATATTTATCACCCTAATGTTTCCTCATTGCCTGTCATTGATATGGCACAAAGAAACATTTTACAACCTTGTTTATGTAATGGTGGAAGTAAACCAGCTTCAGGAGTTCTTCAAAGCTGAAGTTTTCTGTCCCATTGAATCCCTTTTAACTGTCTTCCTGTAGGACAACAGATATTAATCCAGATAAAGAGTAATACCCAATTAATTAAATATAAATTCTCTAAAGTGATGAACATACAGAAAGGAATATGTGTTACCTTTCTTAATGGATCTTAATACCTATCACACATTTCTGGATGCATAATTTACTCATATGTGTTTTAATTATGCAAGACAAAAATATGTTATGTTACCCTCAGATATTAAAAGCAATTAAAAATAAATCAGGAAGCTTGTTTTAACTGACAATTTTTTTAATTATCTTGAATATGTATTACTTGAATATGTGCTGCAGAAATGATGTATGACTTCTAATAAATACACCCTTATAAAATTTAGGAAAAAAGGAACTACTTGACACAAGATGTCTTGTTATGGTTAATAAACAAAAAATACCAAAGGTTTGTACATGCCTGAAGGAGACAAATTGAATGTCAAATATGCAGTTTCAGTGTAATAAAGACTACAAGCTTATCTAATAAACTGTTATTAAAGAATTGCTATTAAAGCACTACTTCAAAAGCTGAATTATTCAATAAAGCCAACTAAGTGGAAGGGTTTAACCAATTAAGTGCACAGATACTAAGTTTATGTAAGAAAGCTCATTAAGAATGTTTATGATCTTAAGGAATTAATTGGAATAAGCATGGTAGTTTGGGTTGCTTGTCTGAGGCCAATTAACATTTCAGAGCAAACCATCTAAACAGTTTTGGAAAGAAGATGTCAGACATCCTTATAGATACAAACAATCATACTTACTCTTCATGTAACTTCCCTGCAGTAAGCACAATCACACCACTGATTAATTTGGTACGTGACAACTCTGGACAGGCTCTATATTGGTAAAGTCTTCCCAGAGAAAAAAATAATACCTGACAACGTGTTTGTTTGTCTTTTTTGTTTTGTTTTCCTGGAAAATTTGCAGACAGTGAAAGTACAAGGGAATGACATCTCTCACAAGCTGCAGATTTCAAAAGTGAGGAAAAAGGATGAAGGCTTATATGAGTGCAGGGTGACCGATGCCAACTATGGAGACCTTCAGGAGTACAAGGCCCAGGCATTTCTCAAAGTCAATGCTAACAGCCACTCTCGGCGAATGCAAGCCTTTGAGGCATCTCCAATGTGGTTGCAAGACATGAAACCTCGCAAAAACATCTCAGCAGCTGTTCCAAGTAACATCCATAACTCTGCCAATCAGCGCGTGCGTGCCACCTCCAGCCCTGAAGCAGCAGCCAAAATCCCCAAACAAAGTCCACAATCAGGTATGGTAAAGCATTTTGAGCTTTCATTTGATTGCTTACCAGCATGTAAAAGGAGGCTAACTCAACAAGGTAACCAGGAATTGTGACTAGGAAGAGTATGGTGTTAACTTATTCCTCCTTCTTTCTGGCTCCATTCCTCCTGCTATCTCCTTACTTCCTAAAAGCTGAAGAATAAGTTTCTAAGCAGAAGCAGCAAGAAGCCTTAAATTCCTATATGTGAATTTTCTCTCTACTGGTTTTATCCATCTAAGGTTAGCTCTCTAATCAAAGCTGAGCTTTCCCTGTAGTTTGTGCAGAGAGAGAGAGAGGGGAATGTCACCCATCCATAAGTGTTTATTCCTAAGTTAATTTACACCAGTCACCTAACTTTTATATCTCTAACATTTGGTGAAATTAATCTGCTTTTAGCATCAATCTTATTTTAAAGAGGAACTTGACTTCTAAATCTAAGTAGACCTTAGATACACTAGATTATTTCTCTGTTGTGTAGGCTTTAGAAAAAACATGGGTTTGTCAGAATATGGGTTTGTCATCTTCAGCTGCTTCACCACTGGCTTTGAATCAAACATTAAAATGGACATGCCTCAATTGTTTGCCAAGTAGAAATTAACAGACTACACATTTTGTTTGAGAGACATTTTAGAGCACTGTATAAATAACCTATAAGCAATATAAACTCATGTTTTCTACCTTGATACAGTAAAATTCACAGTTATGCAAAGGTACATGAATATAAAGAATATGTAGCTGCTGAACACTGTATAATGACAATAGAGAGATGGACAGGATAAAAAATTGAGACATGTTGTAAATAATCAAAAATCATCTGAAAAAAACCCCAAACCTATGCACATTTAAGGGTTTCTGGGTTACTTCTGTTTATACTGAGGGCCCAGTGTAAGGCAGGAGACCACAACCTAGCTTAAAATGTATAATAATATATAATACAAGCTATCCTATTTTGTTCTGATGCATCATTTTTCTGCTAGCAGAAGGCATGTCATTAAAACCAAAACCGGGAATACAACAACCTAGCACACCTATTGTGAAATCACTTTCAGCTTACAGGTATACTGATAGAAAAACATTTTGATAAGGAAAAGACATTTCATGACAGATTGGAACAATATGATTATTCTTGTGAATATTCTTATTGCTATTAGAAAAGATAATGCACGTACTACCACCATTTTGCCTCTGTATACATTTTTAAAAATTTATTCAAAAGTTCCATTCAATTGTCTTTCCCTGAAATGGAGCCACTTTCTTTTTTTAAGTCCTTCCAAAAATGTTTAAGCTCTTAGAAGAAAAGAAATATTTAAATTTATTTAAAATCAACATTCTACCATGGCTTTCCTCTCAGAGAAATGTATATACTGCTTATTTTCCATTGGACACATACATTTCAAAGTAGCAGACTTGTCCATAAAGTGAAAACTCTGGTTTCTATTCAGCTCTATGTGAAATTAATTAAAATAGTCACAAGTTTCTGAAATATGTAACTTCAGACTGCACTGCATTGCAGCCAAGGCACACACACAACAGCTAATTCAATAAATCACTTTGGATATATCATTAAATCTATAATATTGTTTATGTCTTTAGTCCAAGCAATGCCTTGACTGATTACTGGACCCTTGATATGTCAGAGCTAGTAGGTTATTACATGGAAAGGTCCCTGTAAAGAAAAACAATGTAGAAAAATTTAATCTCTAGTTCTTGAGCACAGATTACAGCAAGTCAAGTACAGACAATCCCAATCATAAATAAATTTTAAATTTATCAGATTAAAATATAATTTAGTTTATTAATTCATTTGTTTTATGATGAAGTACAGATTAATTCTGTATTCATCAGAGGTGAAACTCATCTACTGAAGAAACAAAGAGTGTACCAAGAATCTACATTAGGCTTAATTTCAATTTAACAGTCACTTGCTACATAGTAATTACTGGTGATATTTTCGATGAACATCTATTTAACTCTTGAGAATCAAGATTTATTTTCCTTTACTTGAGAAAATTTCGACTTGATTTGGATTTTCACTCCATTTTACACTCACTCTACAATAGAAATAGTACCAGGAGCAAAAGGCAGTGAGGGCTTTTAGCTCTATGAAACTTTGAGGAGCAACTTCAGCTAAGTAAGTAGAGACATCAGTTGTGAGACCTCAGGAAAGCTGAAAGGAAGTGTCATAAACAGCAATAGTCTTTCTTTTAATGATATATAATATACAGAGTCTCCTTAGTCTTTCATGCTAATCGTACTTTCATGCATGAGACAGTTGTGAGATTACATGTAAGCAATGTAGTCATCCAGCCTAGAACACAGAAACATGCTTAAATACAAATTTATCAATATTAACCACATGTTTGTATTGGAAAGATGTAGGAGGTGATTATGATGTGTTTGTTCATGTTGAGTAATACGTTGACTTCAGCAATACTGTTTGAAAAGAGAAATACTATTAACCATTTGTATCAAATGTTCTCTGATATTAGAGAACTGGTACAGAGTTATTGGCAAACAATAAATTTTACTGCCATACTCACAGACTATTGGGAAATACGTTTACAGAAGAGGAGAACATGACACTGCAAAATTACTGAGAAATCTGTATTCGGCTACTTCTGAAGAGCTCAGCTACTAATATAAGAAAGATTGAATCTGATTACATGAATATTTTGTCCCCAAAAAATTATTTCTGAAAGGTAGATAACACTCTACTTACTCTTTCTATCCTGAAGTAAACTGTTGAATTTAGTTTATTTCTTAACAACAGTTATTTAACAGATAGCTCTAGAAAAGCAGTTTACAATCACTACAGTTTTAAAATAACAGCATTTCTCAACTGAACAGATATTTCTGACATTCTCCTCTTTTACTCAAAGTAAAAATATCTGTGATAACTATGAGGGAGCTATATAGTCAGGGTTGACATATTAAAGTGATATGAGGTCCATTCAGCATTTTGCACTGCTCTGAAAAATGCTGTGTGAGTGTAGAGAAGATATTTGTTATTGTTAGTGTAATGGAGATTCAATATAGGAAGGAAGAGCTAAAGAGAACATCTCCCACAAGCAGTCTTCATATATACTCAGAAGCACTAAACGTCTACCTCAAAGTAAAAAAAGTCAGGAAAGCAAAAGTTGAAGCTAACACAGCTTGACCCTTTCATTTAATATTCATGGACTGCAGCAGATAAAGTAAACCATCACAGCTTAACAGGAATTTGAGTAATTTGACAGGCTAATCTGCATATATCCAGATAATGTCCTATGTAGGCGGAGTGACAGACACTTTTTTTCTGCATAATTCATAACAATGTATCTTAGTCCAAAGGTAAAAGTACAGAGTTATCACATAGCCTTGTAACTCTAAGCAATTTTGGCAATTAACTGAGGTCCAAGAGCTGCAACGAATTCAGGTAAAAGGAAACTAAATAATCTAAAGGCTGCACCAAATCTCACTGTTTCATAGACATAAATCTAGACAGACTCTGCTACCTGCATTCAAGTCACTTAAAATTTATGGTAACACAAAGGGCTGCAGAACTTGATGTGTTGAGAATATGTATATCTCTCAAACTCTTCCTGTTCTGCCAGTGCTCTGCTAGAGCACTCAAAGCCATTAGTTGTCTTTCAGACTCAGAGAGATCAGGCTCAGAGAACGCAAGAGGCAATAGCTACAAATGAAGAAGTGAGGTTAGGTCTATTTTCTGACTGCTTACATAGAGATGCTGCACATTTCTAGCAATTTTTTTCTTCTTTCAATAAATTCAATTATTGATCTAACTACATGCTGAAACTGCCCCTATGATGAAAAAGAGAACAAAGGAGAAGGTGGCCCTTACCTAAGACAGAATGACCTGGATTCCTTGCATCATAAATCACTGTGAAGCTGATCATCAGGCATGAATGCAAAAGAAGAGAGTTAAAACCGATTTCTTCAGTCTGTTAATGCTGATAAATGGATGCCATTCCTTCCAGCCTCCTTCTTTATCTACAGAATCGAGGAATCTTTTATTATCAACCTATTTCAAGCACAAACTTTGTGTCCATTTTGGAATCTTCTTGGATATAAACCAACTTCTGTGTTATGTTTTTTTTTTTTTCTTTGACGTTACATGTCCTCTTAAAGTGAAGGGACAAAAGGTCTGCTCTAGTTTCCACCACGGCAACAGCCAACATTACTGCTTTCTTCACTAAGAGAAAGTGAACTAAGAACTTATGCGGATGCTATTTTTAGAAACTGTAAGTACCTGTAAGACTGGGAGGCACCAATCGTTACTGTGATTGTTGAACAGCAAAAAGACAAGTCTCTGTTTCCTTAGGATACTATTAAAGCAAAAGCTAAATGACAGTTTTGTTCTTCTTGTTCTGAACCTTATCCAATTGTTCTCAGAAATTCTTGCAAAAAGATGATACAAGGACTACGCAGCTTTACACCTGTATACATTACAATCTCTGTTTTTACTTGAAACTTACTACTTTGGTTCTTTCTTCCTGAAACAAAGCCACTCCACTTTTTTAGTTTCCTTGAAATAATGGAATAGAATGTTAATTAATGTGGCCCTATTTGCCAGTTACTTGTTGACCCTGAAACTGTAAGCATATTCTGAGAACTGCTAATCTGCTCCAAATAGTGCAATTGACAAAGCAATGTCTTAAGAGCAGATAAACCCCTTCTTTTAGACCAGGAATTCCAATGCATAATGAACTCACTACTGCCTTATGTTTCTTTCAAAAAACCCTCATCTTTGATTCTTGTGTGTCCATACTTACTGATTGAATCAAACGCATACCAGTACTTAAACTCCTGTTCCTAGTGCTTAGTCCAACTAAATCCAGTAATAAGCAAAAGGTTTTCAGTGGATCTGCAGTTCTAACTGCTGTCAAAAGCAAAATGGCATCTATTTTTTGTAACCATCCCTCACTGCCACTTTCAATTGCTGATACTACACCATCACTTTTCTATTAATTTCTATTCCTCTTACAAAA